GTGAATTAAACCCGATTGAACTGGTATGGGCACAGATAAAGAGTGAAGTTTCAAGAAAAAATACCACTTTTAAAATTCATGATGTTAAACAGTTGTTTTTGGAGGCCGTAAATAATGTAAAACCTGAAAACTGGGAAAAGGCAGTAAATCACACTATTAAAGAAGAGGAAAAAATGTGGAAGCTGGACAATATTACTGATAAAATGATCGAGCCAGTTATTATAAATCTTGGTTCTGAAAGTTCATCTTCTGAATCTGATTTGGATTTGTAACAAGTAGCTGTAAGTTTTATATTAATATATTTTTATTCATCTATTTAACATACCTTAGACGGTTTTAAAAACTCTTTTTCTCTTTTGTAATTTTTAAAAATTAAAAAAAATGTGAATTTTTTAAAACCCTTTTTAATGTAGGCCAGTCAGTTCTAATATAGTGTGTGTTAAAAGAGGTCACTTTTGTTTACATACACATAACACTTTATAACACTGAAATAATTCATTTATTTTTTACAATTATTCAAAGTAATTTTTCAATTAATCTTGAGCACGCCCATGGAGTGGTCGGAAGGTACCAGTTAAAATTATGCTAATTACTCTCTCGTTCATAAAAATAAACTATAGGTATACTTACTCTAGTGATTTCTCAGTAATTTTGTTTATGATGAATATTACAACTACTTATTGCCTCCAATATATTTTTGTATTGCCTCCAATATATTTATATTTTGTCGATGAGAGTGAAACTAAAGAAGGTCAACAGCCCTAGCACCAATAAAATCATGGATACAAGACGTCTCAAACAAGACAACACATTCGGAATCTGTTATTTCACGAATTATAATCATTGTGATTAGGTTTCCCGGACTTCCGGGAAAAATTGGCTACAAGTAGCGTACAATAAAAAACAATGGAAAGGAAGACTTGAAGAGGCTTATGTTCAGATGTGGACGTAAATGGCTAGACGAAGAAGAAGAAGAATCATTGTGGTTGTGCTTGTAATTAGAATTAGTTTATCGCTGTCAACACTAGTTTATAGTTTGGTAATTTATTATTATAGACAATAAGTAGGTATATAGGAAATTTATAGGTCATTTTTGTGGTTGTAATGTGAGTTGCTACATTTGTAAAGTAAGTATGAGTAATCTACTTAAAAAATACTATAGGTACACAATAAAAATCCCATTTATTTTTGCGTTTCATTTTATTAGTTTTTTGTAAGTTCCCTTTAGGTCCTGTATACATCCTCATTTAGGTCCTGTATTAGTCCATGTGGACGTGCAATGGATGTCCCCAATACATCCTTCTCAGGTCCCATATAAGTCCGTATTAAGTTCTGTATATGTACTATGTACGTCCCCATGAACATCCCGGGGACGTCCAGGGGACGTACTTTTTAGTAACATGTAGGTCTTATCGGACGTCCCGGGGACGTCCAAATTATGTAAACGGAGGTCCGTGGGATGTCCGGACATTTAATGAGATACATCCTTTGGACGTTAATATCAGCGATCAGCGACCTCAGAAACTACCGCCCCATTAGCTTGTTGTCACAAGTATATAAGCTATTTACAAGAGTTATTACCAACAGGCTAGGAAGTAAGTTGGATTTCTATCAGCCAAGAGAGCAAGCAGGTTTTAGAGCAGGATATGGCACGAATGATCATTTACAAGTAATTAAGAACTTAATAGAAAAGAGTGTTGAATATAACAAGCCATTAGTCATGATATTTGTTGACTACGAAAAAGCTTTCGACACAATAAGTCATCAAAAGATGTTAAAAGCCTTAACAGAGTGCCGTATAGATCATCGCTATATAAACATGATAAAATACATCTATCAAAATGGGACAGCAAGCGTGAAACTGGCAGATAAAAAGACCAATGTATTTAAAATAAAACGGGGAGTGCGACAGGGAGACACAATTTCGCCAAAATTGTTTACAACATTATTAGAGCATATGTTTAAGAACGCAAATCTGAGTGAAAAAGGAATTAATGTCAATGGAGAAATGCTTAGTCATTTGAGGTTTGCTGACGATATTGTCCTTTTTGCTGACAGAATCGATGATGCAGTATCGCAACTGGAGAAACTATACCTAGCCTCCTACAAGTTGGATTAAAAATCAACACACAAAAACACAAATCATGACAAATCTTGTGTTAAGCGAAAAGATTTCAGTAAATGGCATGCATATTGAAGAAACCACCTCTTATAAGTACTTAGGACATGAGATACGCATAGGAAGAGATAATCAAACGTGCGAACTAAGCCGCCGCATAGGACTCACTTGGGTGGCATTCGGCAAGCTGAGCTATGTTCTTAAATCAGAACTGCCTATGTGTCTTAAAAGAAAAGTCTTTAATCAGTGCGTGTTGCCAGTACTTACATATGGTGCAGAGACATTAACACTAACCAAGAAAGTAAGAAATAAAATTTGTGTTACCCAAAGAGCCATGGAACGATCGATGTTAGGCATTTCTCGTAGGGATCGGATCACGAACAAGGAAATAAGACGGAGAACAGGAGTGACAGATGCCATAGAAAGAATTATGACCCTTAAGTGGAACTGGGCGGGGCACATAGCTAGAATGTCGGATAACAGATGGACACAGCGAATAATACAGTGGAGACCGAGACAAGAAGCACATCGAAGTAGAGGTCGTCCACCAACAAGATGGTCTGATGACATAAAACGGATCGACAAAAATTGGATGCAAACAGCACAAAACAGAAATACATGGAAAAGACTGAGGGAGACCTATATCCAGCAGTGGATAGATCCGGGTTAAATGATGATGATCCTTCGGACGTCCATGGGACGTACTTCCTGGCTGAAAAATCCTAAAAAATTCCTAAAAAATTTCCTGGCTGAAAAATCTACGAACGTGGTTCAACACAACAACCACAAATCTTTTTAGAACAGCAGTTTGCAAGATATAGATTGCCCTGATGGTCGCAAAAGGAAAATCTTTGGCCAATGCGTGTTACCTGTACTCACTTATGAAGCGGAAACATTCACAAAAAAGGTAGTTAATAAGATTATTGTGACTCAGTTGGCTATGGATCCCCAGATGTTGAGTGTCTCTCTGAAAGAAAGAATCTTAAACGAAGAACGAAACAGACGCCATCGAAAAAATCAAGTCGTTAAAATGGAATTAGGCAGGACATGTCGCCATATCATGGCGACGCAATACAAGAAGGCAATACGGAGCAAAGGAATCCTACCAATTAGATGAACTGACGACCTGAAGCGTGTTGTGTTAGCAATAACTGGATGCAATCCGCACAAGATAGACTCAGATGGAAAGAGCTGAGGGAGACATATGTCCAGCAGTGGACGCATACAGGTTGATGATGATGGTGATTATGATGATAATAAAGGTGTTATTATTTTTTTCATATGATTTCTTAAATATTTTAAAATTTTTAAAGTTCTGTTATAATATACAAATATTGTATTCACATATTGATTTATAAAAACAATTTGAAAACAAAGCTTTGTTATATTGTTATATAAAATGAATTTCCATCAAGTAACGGTCGAATCCACACATACGGCCATATGGAAAGCACTGCAGGAAATAGGAATACCAGAAAAAATAGTAAATCTCATCAAAGAACTCTACAGTGACACAGAAAGCAAAATCCTACACAACGGCATAACATCTGACCCAATAGCTATGCTAAACGGAGTAAAGCAGGGCTGTGTTTTATCCCCCATACTATTTAACATTGTACTGGACTCCGTACTAACAAAGGTAAACTCTAATAGAGGAATTTACTGGGGATTAACAAACAGACTGGAAGACCTAGATTACGCTGATGATATATGCCTCCTATCACATACAAAACAGGACATGCAACTCCAAGTAAACAAAGTACAAGAAGAATCAAAGAAGGTTGGTCTAGAAATAAACATCAACAAAACCAAAGAAATGCGATTTGGTACCAGAAACAACCAACCTATTATGATCAACGACCAGAAAATTGAGAGAGTAGAGAAATTTGTATATATGTTGGCAGCATAATTGACTGTAATGGGGGTACAAAGCGTGATGTACATGAAAGAATAAATAAGGCTCGCAACGCCTACAACATGCTTAACAACATATGGAAATCCAGGATTTACCCAACTAACACGAAATTAAAAATCTTCAACACAAATGTAAAAGCTGTATTACTGTATGGCTGCGAAACGTGGAAGATATCAGCACCCATAGTACACCAATTACAAGTTTTGATCAATAGAACGGTACGAAAAATCCTTCGTATATTTTGGCCTAACCGAATCTTCAATGAAAATTTATGGAACCAAAGCAACCAAGAAAATGTCATAAAGCAAATAAGGCGAAGAAAATGGAGATGGCTGGGCCACACACTCCGTAGACCGCCAAATGACATTACCAGGACAGCGCTGGATTGGAATCCCCAAGGCCGACGGAAAGTAGGCAGACCTAAGGGAACTTGGAGAAGGACAGTACTGGACGAAGGGAGAAAAATGGGAAAATCCTGGCTTGAAATCAAAGCACTAGCCAGAAATAGAGTTCGCTGGAGACACTTTGTGAAAGCCCTATGTTCCTCTTAGGAATCTTGGGACTATATATATAACGGTCGAATCCATCATTTATTTATAAAAACTGTTAAGTCAAAAACTAAAAAAAAACTTACTAATTTTGCAAATATTTTTTCAGATTTATTTAACAATAGATGTTCGTTTATAAAAAATAATTACAAATATCATTTTAATTGTAAAAATCTATAACATTTTTATTATTATTATTTTATAAACGTATATCTAGCAATAAATATGTAAGAAATGCCTTCCTGTATACCATGAGGATACCAACAAAACATAAAAATGGGAACATCAGCAGGAATAAATCTCGCGGCATGACCGTCTCTCATGTGGGAGCCACCTGACGCTGATCGTTTGTTCGGAAGCGTCTCGGCGGTAAGCGTCGGGTGGTGGGAGTGGTGGGAGAGCGCCTCGACGCCAGCTCGTTCACTTAGTGAAGAGCAGCATGTGGTGGTGGCTGCTCCTCGTAGTCACTTTGGTGACGGCCGAAGTCGATGCCAAACGACCTTCAACAACGACCACAAACCAAGAACCCGTCATCGAAGAGGTCACTGCCAAGCAACTAGAACGAATTTTATCCGATAAGGACTACGTCGCCGTCTTCTGGTGTAAGTACAGCTACTTAAGCCGTCTCCAAGTGTGGTTTGGTAGGTGTGTGTGCGCGCTATAGCGACCCGATACGTACAGATCAGTGAGTGTATTATGTGTCTCTCCGCCAGGCCATAGCCAGATTTGGCTCGCTTTGCCTCACTCCCGCATACTATTCTCTTGTGATGCAACAACTGTTTCATATCAAAACATACCCCCTCAGACCGAATACGTTTAGACTGTCATGCATTTTGCATCGACATATTTTCGGCACTTATTTCTTGCTACGAAAATAAACTCGCAAGTGCGTACGCTGCCCGCTCTTCAAGACTTTAAAAATAGTTCCGAGAAACTTTTATTTCGCTATTACTGACCTTTGCTGGACGATTTAAGGCAAAGTTTTAAAAATAATTGGCTCCTGGTTTTGCTATTCGTTTCAAGACAGCATAAGTTTGATATTTTTTTGTGTATCCAAAATAGAAAGTATACTACCACCAAACCCGCGTTCTATTAATATTTCAGACACATTTTGAACGAGATACAATTCAAAATGCCGCTGTATTTTTAGTTATTTGTTTGGATTTTACGACATTTTTGTGTCAAGCTCTTTTTTATACTCGTAAATTTGACCGACACTGTTGACAGCCGTGGGATGTCATAAACTTAGCGAAAACGTCATAATACTCAGTCTCACACTAACTAAATGTTACTTAAGTGAAGCAATACTCCTTCCAAAAATATGTTATATGTTGCTTATATTGCTATATTTTTTTGGCCTGCTTAAATATATGATATGTATTTACAGATTTATTAATTTTATTTACAAAATAATCACAAATTAACCAATAACACATCTGGGCTCACAGCAAATTGTACATTCGGCTCCTATTTTACATATACCTTTTACTCAAAGTATTGGCTATATCTTGTTGCCAGATTTTTTTGTGTCTTTTATCCTTCTACCTGTTGATTTCCTCCAGTTGTTTATTTTTTGTCAGTTTACAACTTCGTACTGAGTTGTTTTTACCGTATATCGTTAATAACAGTTTCCTTCTTTTGAGTATTCTTCAGAAGTCGTCATCTCTAATTCTTTCTAGTGCGGCTTTTCATGTTGATCGTCTAAAAAATTCATTTAAATTATAATGAGAGGCAAAAACGCCCTATGCAAGTGTGTGCGAGTGTCTGTGTGAGTGGGAGGTATGGTTAGAAAACAAGTTCTTCAGCCACAAACTCATTTTACAAAGATATATCTTAATTTACTAATTAACTGCTATTTATTTTTAATTATATGATAGTGTTTTGGTCTCAAAAATTCTATAAATAACAAATATTTTCAGTTGTTGTTAGCTTACTAAACATTCAAAGATGTGGTTATAAAATCTATGAATCCATGTTAAACTGGGTAGTAAAATTACTTATAGACTCATTTAATATCTATTTATTTAGAAATGATAAAAGGGTTGCCAATGTGGGCTCATAATACCAGTGTATGGGAAATGAGTCGATACTTACAATCTTAAGGACTTTTATTGTTTAATGATGGTACATTTTTGGGCTACCAGTTTCAAAAGTTGACCCATCATCAGACCACACTATATGTTAGTCTTATATTCCTATATATATTTGCAATTTTGGACCTTTTACATGTTTAATTGATTTAATACGACTTAATATGCTAAAAAAGAAATTAACTTTAATTAAAATTTGGTCTCAGGGTTCTTTTTATCGTTAATTATAATAAGTGGCTTCAGAGTATTCTTTAAGCAGTTTTCTTTGAGGAAAATATGGGAAATAGGAAAATAAATTAAACCAAATAATTTTATGATACTTAACTATTAAATAATTCATTAAAACAGAATCAAAAAATATGTATTAAAGTCAATTTTATAATGAATCAATATCATATGCGCTAATACGCATAATTATAATTACAAATTCATTAAAATTCCTATACAAATTATCAATAATTGGTTGGACTTGTATTTAAATAAAAGATCTTTCCACTGTTTTTTTGTTAATTAAATGACGGCAAAGAACTGTTTTAGAAGAAAAATTACTTTTTAAATTTTTATATATCTGAATTAAAATATTATATTTATTGTGAAATGAAATCACTGAACAAAATATAAAATAACCAAATTAATTATGATCCAGTCATGATCGTGGTTGAAAATCTTTGTTAATTATATGTCAAACTCACCTTTTATTTCCAAGAATTCTTCTACTGGCTCCTTTTTTTCTTACTACTGTGATCTGCCCACCTTTTGCTCATACTCTCAGTTACTCCACACACGCCTGCTATCTCCTCTGCTTGTCAACTTCTCTCGCACACCGATCACGCAACAGTCTCTCAAAGCTCTGGCCAAACTCCTATCTCACAGGAACCCAATTTCTTTCTAGTCAAAAGGATTTTCACTTAATCGACTAGTACCAAATATACTATATACCTGTTTGTTTATTACAGGATGTACTTTCGTTGTTTACTGCTACTAATCCTTGGGCTCGTTCCACAGACACAAAACATCTTTCAAAATTATTATTTGACAAGAACTCTGTTAAGTTTCACTCAGGATATGGAACAAAAACAACTTGCTTCTTCCGACGTTCAAAATACAGTCATCTTTATTTTCCCGGGCAAAACATGACTTCAATCCTTCCTTTACCAATAAGACACACACATTCTACATATCACGGCCATCCCTTTCGACCAATCAAATTCTGTGACTTGTCAAACACAAGCTCAATGCTATTATGATATCACATAACCTTGGCATTTCCAAAGTTTACATAAATAAGATATTTTCTTTGTTTTCAAGTTTCTAGAGACAATACAGCTTATACTACTTCGGTTATTGTACACTTATTCCTGACAACAAAACTTTCTAATTCTTTGTCCAATTTCTATGTAAGCAAAAAACTTCAACTTTTATTCTAAAATTGCTATCTTTGGGCTATTAACAATAATCGTTTATGAGAAATCCTCTATTGTTATCATATATTATCGTACAAATATCTATTCTCCTATCTGCCTACTTCCTACTAAATTAGAAAAACCATTACTTCTTAAAATATTTGAATCTTACAAAACTTATCTTGAAAATCGTCATATTTTAATTTTTATGGCTTTTCTCGCATTTTTATTTAGTTTATATAATGATTAAATTTACTATCAAATGATATTTGTTTTTATTTTATGATTAATTTAATAGTTCGTCTGAATTTGACAGCTCTGTCAGAAGTAAACGTCGTATGCTTTGCTAATATGTTAACAGGTGGCGTTAGGAGCAAACATAATTTATTGGTCTGTGTTATTGGCAGTGTTGCCATCCGAGGTGATGCATGTATTGTCATCTGACTTTCATCTGTATTGTGAAATATATCAATTTATATATTAGTATGGGACATAAGTCTTATTGAACAATTTTTTTAAAGTGAGTATTCAGTACCTTTATCGTAAGATCTGCGAGAGAATTTTCGGTTATAATGCTTATTTATTATACTTATTATAATTACCTATGTGTTTGATTTTACTGGCAGGTCTGAGTAGACTTTTGTCAAGATTTGATTGTTGTCATTATATCAAGAGAATTTATGTGCATGTTTTATATGTATTCGTTCTGAACGCTGTCATATGTTGATATCCAATCAATAGAGTTTTTACATTGTTTGATAGTTATCATTGTATGAATTGGGCTTCCTATTATATTCCATAGTTCCGTATTTATTTTGTGTAAACTCTATCATATCATCATCATTATTATCATCCAGCCTTCATTTATTACGTCCACGGCTGGACATAGATCAGATCAACGTGTAGGTGGTCTTTCTCTACTACGTCTGTCTGCTTTTGGCCTCCAATTTGTATTTTTGATCGTCCATCGTGAGTCATGCATTCTCGCTACATGGCCTGCCCAGTTCCTTTTCAGTTCCGCTGTGCGTTCCACAACATCTGCAATACTCATCCTTTCTTGTAGATCTACGTTTCTTATTCGGTCCCGCAATGTGGCTCCTAGCATAGATTGTTTCATTCGTGTCTGTACCACTTCAATTTCGAAGCCGTAGTCTTGGTTAGAGTATAGTTTTCGCCTAATAGGTAAAAACCAGTAATACGCATTGGCCAAATACTTTTCTTTGGATGCTAATTGGTATGTTGGCCCTATGTGTGTCTCGCAGTTTTACAAAGGCTGCCACTCTAAAGTAATTCGCCTTTGAATTTCGCATGTTTGGTTACCTCTGCTGATTCTTATTTCATGACCCAAATACGTACATTTCTTCACCAGTTCTACCACTTTGTCTTGAATAGTTAAATGGTTATTGGGGACCATATTTGTCATAAACTTAGTTTTGGTCAAGTTCATTCTGAGGCCCACCTTCGAACATGCAAAGTCCCATTTATTTATTTACATATCTGTAGCTTCTTCTAAATTATCTATGATAAGGACAATGTCATCTTCATCTGCTAAACGGAGATGGTTAAGATTTTTGCCGTCTATTGGTAATCTACAAAGAGGTAAAAAATATTGATATTGAATTCGTTGATTTTCTAATATTTGAAGAATCATGATCTTATCTTTAGATAGATAAGATCATGCCTAATAGATCAAGTAGATCTATTTAGTGTAAAATTACTTTGGTATTGATCCAAGAAGTTCTTTTACGTTTATAAAACTTTTCGCGTACGTATTTACGTGAGATGATAGGCTCAAATAAAGGTAAAGATCTACAAAAGTATGAGATAAAAACAATTTTCTTCTGTATAAAATATCAAACCTATCTAATATGTTCGATTAAAAAACGATCTATCAAAAATTAATAATCCAATTTTACTATTAATACCGTCGGTCATTCTCAAATATTATATTTATTGAACTTCAAATCGGAAGTACATCGATGACAGATGAACACCAACGCAACACACGAACATGAAATATAATAGAGACTTAATGATTTCCGATTTGTTTTTCCACTCGACCATATAAACATTCAATGTTTTATATTGTAAACTTTACGACAGTGTAAT